TGTTCGTTGTGCCGGTATACTAAAATACCCACCCAAATGCGTTTCTGTTTGGTTTGGTACACTGGGATCCTGTATGCGTGTTTCGGAGACACAGCATACATCAATGGTACGAGATTCTAAGGTTCTAGCCAAGGAAGCCTGTTGACCGATTTGACATAAGGTGCGTACGTTGAAGGCTCCAATGTGTAGTTTGGAGCGAGGTTTCAGTAGACCTGGGACAGTGTTTTGAGCACTAGAATCGTTGGCTATGGTGACACTTGAGGAAGAAGTCGAAGGAGGAAGTTTAGGGTTGAAAGTCGATGTAGGAGGAATAATAGGAATTGAAGAGGAAGGGTGATTATGAATACAGTGGTCTTGAGTGCTGTTAGAGGTATGAGGACGGTTATCACTTCCCGGTTGCCCACACCGTGGAAGGGTTCTTCTGGTATCAAATACAAAAATCAACTATACCTCAGAAAACAAGTACAGAATTACAATGTCAGCTTTTAGTTACAATTTTATTGTGATGAGAAACGGGATAATTGAACTTACTATAACAAAGTAAATAAAGGATTCGAACCTGTAACCTACTGGTTTAAAGTTAGTTGCATTATTCACTAAGTCACTGCTTTAAATTGGAAATTCTAGCTGCCAAATGACTACACTGAAGTATCAACTGTCCCATAATTTTTTTAATTATAGCATTGTATCCTAATTTGATAACACTGATGAAGTAACAGACTCTGTAGAATGAAATGTCACGATAAACCTGAACAGATTTTCTCGTTCAAGACTGTAATTAGTAGTACAGATTAGAAAGGGTTCTTCTGGAGGTACCTGAAAAGGAAATTAGATTAGAGGCGGTCTCAGCAACCTGAGAGCGTGACCCCAGTGCCTAAGGGACAGCTGCTTGAGGCCGGTCGCGCACGGTCTTTTTGTGGAAGGTTTTTGACGTGTTAGCTCCGTTCTTCAAAGAGCCTTACCGCCTGAGACGGAAATCCGTGAGGTAAGGCGATGTGTGCATTTTTAGGGTCGACCTTTTCTAACCCCACCCCTACTTGTGGGAAGGCAGCATCGCTGTCATGCTGGTTGTCTGAAGGAAACACCTTACTGCTGTCACACCTCTGTACAGTCATCAGTACGACTTCACCTTAGAACCTTGGGTTTGTTGCTTTTAGTCTTACAACTCTTCAACCGACCTTTCTGATGTGGTAGGACCTTGAGGAACGGTTGTTCCAGCCAGTATAGCTCGGTTGCTTCATCACGATAGGCAAGCCCGACCACCACGTCAAGGTAGCAACAACGGTCGGGACAGCATTGCATAAATGGTTTCTTCAGAAATTCAATAATACACTATTTTCGTTAATGTTAGCATAATATTCACCGTAATAAACTAGACGGGTTCTGTGCACTTAAGAATATTGAAGAAGTGGAGAAAATAAGGGAATAGAAATGAAGGAAACGCGAAATACGTTAATAGTTTAGTGGACGTGTTCATGAACACAAAACAAGTATAGACGACTATGTATTTGTCGCCGAATGAATAACAAAAAGGGGAAATGACTATAAATAAATAAGATTATTAATGAAGCAAGATTTGACGGTAGAATAAGTGTTTGTGCAATGCTATTCTACCGTCAATAATAACCTTATTTATTTATAGTCATTTCCCCTTTTTGTTATTCATTCGGCGACAAATACATAGTCGTCTATACTTGTTTTGTGTTCATGAACACGTCCACTAAACTATTAACGTATTTCGCGTTTCCTTCATTTCTATTCCCTTATTTTCTCCACTTCTTCAATATTCTTCTTAAGTGCACAGAACCCGTCTAGTTTATTACGGTGAATATTACGCTAACATTAACGAAAATAGTGTATAATTGAATTTCTGAAGAAACCATTTCCAAAACATTTTCTGTGACGGATGTTTTGGGGATTTCCTGCAATTTCGGGATTTTCCGTACTTATTATGGTACCAGCAATAATCAGGGTTAGCTGTCTTTCAAGATCTAGAGATAGGTCGTTTTCATGAAGTACTCCAATGGGAGTACTTCCTACTTTCTTAAAAATAATTGTTACTGATCTGGAAAGCTTCAAGAAAACACGAAATCAAGTTTTGATACTGAAATATGTGGACCAGACTTGTCAACAGATTATAATCCGGCCATTAATAATCGCAATAAATCTAGACTAAGTGGAATTTGACTATGTATGATAATTAGAAGCATTCGGGTTGACGTGCAACCCAAAAATTACTTGAATAGTTCAATCCACGGCTTGTAGAACTGCATGGGGACAAGTGAACACATTATATTTGGAGTTCGTAATAAGTGCGCAATTAAGTACGAAGGAATCTTTTGTTAGTATAAATACTAAAGGCGCCGCGGCTTAGATGGGAATCCGAATTCCTGTAATCGACTGCACGTTTCCACTTTAGCTTCATCATGTATCCTGTTAATACTGCAGACTGTTTATTACTGCGACCCCAACAAATGAGTCATCTAGATCTCGTTAGAGGACCTCGTCTAGACTGCGGATGTATACTCAGTGCTAAACGAAAGGATAGGATGTTGATCTGATAAGTAGATTTCCTGACTAGTTTTTCAAGCGGGATGAATTTTCCACTACTCCCGATGATAGTTTCGGTTTAAACGATCGTGCTATTATACGTCCTTTGTAACATAAATCTGTCCTTGGAAATGTTCACAGTGGACATTCAGGTGTTAAGATGAAATCCATGAAGAGGCTCACATGTTGGTGGTTGGAAATAAATGCAGGTACATTTCGTATAGCAAACAATTGCGGAAGATGTCATACGTCAAAAAACCACCCTTTGAATTTGACTCCATGTGCTGTATCCTCTCTGAGGCCTGGTAGGGAATTCATACGGCCTACTGTGGTTCATTTTTTGGCAAATACTACGCACTTGTAGTCACTGATTCTTTTCCCAAGTGGCCTGGAGATTTTTCCCATCTTCACCAAATTCTGACTGAACAATCCAAGCATTAAAGAAGTTTTTAGTCGGGTGTCCATATGGTACTAGTGACTGATAATAGCTTTCATTTTACTGCAGATGCAGTCACTGTCTAGTTGAATGGTAAGTATCTGTTCACTGCTCCCAGACACCTTTGTTCTAATGGTTAGGGAAGAAGTTTCTTCAGGAGATTAACCCGCTAATCATTCCGTTGCTGCTTTAATGACCTGGAGGGGGTAGACGTATTTCTAGTGCAATACAGAAATGCTAAGTATTCTGTGACGAAATAAACTCCGTTAAAACTATCAAATGGAAGGATTCTCTATTTAAATGTGAGGTGTTTAGAGTCCACAAAAGTTACTTGGACATGTGGTTTTCACAAATAGAGCACTATTCACCGGACACAACATTAGATCAGAAGGAATTAGATAGAGATTTGTGCACCTCCCATGAGTTGTTGAAGAAGTTCTTGACCTGACACGGTGTCCTTTTACGTAGAAAACGTGTACGACCACAAGGCATGAAGTGGTGAACCATCGAAGAATCCAAGACCATTTTCAAGGAGAAACTTTATGTAGCAGGTTACCACACCAATTTTTGCGTTATCTTTAATATTTAGTAAGCGACAACACTATGGTCAAGCCAGCCCTAAGCACTGACTGAACCAGAAACTCCCACCAACGACACAGTGAATAACCATCAAAAGACACGGCTGTAACCAAACTCGCTGGAAGTATCACAAGTATCTTAGAGACTGTGATCCAAAAGCAAATAGATAATAAAAAAACGGAGTAAATTAAGACAGTCAAAACTATCTTGTTGGTACCGCTGGAAATTTTATGTCGAATCAGCTTAATACAGTCCACTATGCACCTTACCTAAATAAACTTTTAAGAATGTGGAAAACGAACAGATCTTCATAGGCTATTACAACTGTTGAGGGGTCCACAAAGTCGCTTGTTTTACGTTAGAGAGAGGAATTAAAGTATGAATTTTCTAGTGAATATAGGTGCGTGCTTAGTATCATAACCAGAATAAAATCGGTCTGGGACGACAGACCGCCCCAGTTACGCTTCACTGTTTATACTAATTCTATTTTTACGTTCACGAAACTTAATTGTGATGATTGTTATATTTTTCGATCTCCATAGTGTATATCCTATCCACCTTCAGAGTTTTACCCTAATTTTCCCATTGGCTGGATTGTTCTCTCTCACAGTAGGCTGTTGCTGATGATATTCGATCGACTGAAATTGAGTATCTTGCGTAGACAGTTGCTTATAAATAGCTGTACCTTTTTGATGATGGTTGTAGTAGTTTTCCAAGTTTCAGCTTCGTATAGTGGAACTGGGTTGACGTCTGCATTAAAGATTCTGACTTTGATATTAGTTGACAGTTATCTTGAACTCCGTGTTGTCTTCAATTGTAGAAATGCTGGCCAATCCTTGCTTTTACGTCTGCATCAGATCCACCTCGTTCATCGATGATGCTGATCAGGCACGTGAGTTTCCACCTTTTCCAGAGCTTCTCTATCAAGTGTGGTTGGGTTGGTTCTCTGTGTGTTGTATTTGAGGACCTCGTTTTTTCTCCTGTAGATGTTGAGGCATACTGACGTAAAGGCTTCCGCTAAACTAGATGTCTTCGTCTGCATTTGCTTGTGCGTATGAGATAGAAGGGCTAGGTCATCTGAGGAGTTCGAATCATCTAGCTGCATCCAAGCTGCTTATTGTATTTCCTGCTCCTCCATTGTTTAGGATTCTGGTTTTCCGCGCAGAGCTGATTTGTTCGGTCAAATGATTCAACACAGTTACCAACTAATTAGTAATGGAATCTAGAAATAATAGAATTCAAATCCGAAATTACACAATTTCAAGTTATGCTTATTAGGTCACCTCAATCGCGTATGACAAAAGTAAATGTTATTTAAAAAACTTTAGATGAAGAAAGTACTCACTTTTACAAGTAACCTAAAAAATTCAGTCGTTGTGAACCAATGAAACTTGAGACCAACCAGGATGATACTCAAAATAAGAAGACAGCAAGAAAAAGTGTAATTATATTTCATGTAAAGATAAATTACTGTAATAAAATATAGTATTAAACAGTTTTTCAAAAGTAGCAACACTTAAATCTGATTCATCCGAACGGAATGATAATCGAGGAACAAAGGGGAATGTATTACAGCATCCCACATTTTATGAACATATGTTATCCTAAATAAAAAATACGTGTTTTATGGGGTAAAGGAAATTAAAACATACCATTTCTTCTCTGTAAAATTAGGCATCATATGCTGTCGAGGTGTAGAGAAAACAGCTTCTTGTAAGATACGGGCTGATGTTAAGTATGTTGGACACCCTAATGGTGAATGTCCTAAGAATGTGTGCAAATGGAGAAATTAAAAATTTTAAAGTCCAATTTGCACATGCTCAAATTGTACGATGTTTAAAATAACTTATTTAGCCAAACTTAAACAACATAAAACCTAGGTTGATTTCGTTAATGCTGGATATTTGAAACTAAACCAATACATCGATAATGGATAACATACCATCAATTCTATTTCTTTTAAAAACTTCTAGCATTATCCGAAACAGATTGAAGTGCATGTAGTCGAAATTCGGATTGTGGAAGACTTCTATTTACAAAAACCAAATAAACTTCGTTTAGTATCAAAATTTTCCATAAACTACTAAGAGTCGCCCAAAATCGACTGAGCATGTCCCCAGAAGCCGGAAAAGGACTAAAATAATTTCGCCCAATCAACATTGAATAGAAACTTTGCGGAAAAACTAAGGATATGTCATGATTCGATTGCATAATTACCCGTTTCGCTAATAATTTTAATGTATTACCCAAAGCTCCTAATAGATCAACGCTACCCGTAAACCTACAAATAAATTTGTTCTCTACACATAAATTAATCTAGAAGTAAGGTTTCTATTCTGACTTCTCCCCTTTTCTCTACCCTAAAGGATTCAAGTCTAGGAGTATCTGAGAAACCTAGAAAGAGGATAGGATATTAGCACCAAGCGTTTGAGTAGCAGACAAATTATTTATGATATTTAATTTGAATAAGAACTTGGAAATCTATAAGAAGGTGCAATGATTTCGCAGAATAGGGATAGATATTTGTAACCCAGTTATCTCATTACTCACTGTTAGTGCATAATACAAAACCTCCTACTGATAATAATCAACATATGTTCACTAGTGACTGGCTTCAAGATGTTTATCCTGGAGTTCTATTGAGAAGCAGTGACCAGTGGAGTTCAACCGGGTCAGTTGTGAGATAGTAACTCACTAATGACAATGGTGGATATGTCGCTCAACTTCGTGGATTAGTTGAAGTTAGACATTGACACCGTTGAGTACCGGCTCAGTGGTTTATTGGTTAAGCGCTCGAGCGCGACCAGCAGGTCCTGGGTTCGGATCCCGCAAGGAGGGGTCGTGGATGCACACCGCTGAGGAGTCTCACAATAAGACAAAACGGCCATCCAGTGCTTCCAGGTTTTCCATGGTGGTCTAGCTCCAATTGACTCATGATCTCAACTATTGAAAATCATAATACTCAATATCAGAATATGCTTAATAGACTTTGTTTTAGATACATTAGGGATACACCTCCTAGTTAATATGTTAATGTGACGGCAAAATAAACTTGTACTCCTATACGGAATACGACGATACAATGACACGAGATTGAATAACAGACTGGGAAAACTAGATCAGGTGACACGTAGATAAGAAACTCTAGCCAACAATTAAGAACCAGATTATAGGCCAGTTTTGTTAGGACATATACAAGGAGTCTACACACAGTGGGACTAATAGTAAGAAATATATTTCAATATTTATAATGTCCCATGCATTTACCATATCTAGATGTCAATCGTCATTCGCTAATCAATCACACTTTGCTTGACATACCACCCGTATTATGATGAACGTGAAAATATAAGAGTGCTTATCAAATGTATTTCTAGTTAAATGGAAAATTTCGAATATACTACATCAGAAACAGAAGAAATCTGACATGCAATATCAACGAAATTTGTCATAGTAACTAAAAAGATTTCGATCTAAACTCTTAAAAAACAATCTAGATAAGCTTAATTCCAAAAAATCACACAGTGAAAGCACTTAGGATGGAGTCTAATCACGTGGGTTATTTATTAAACTAAGCAAAACATTTAACACTCAGTTAACTGACATTTCGAACTAGAGAAAACTTATAAAAAATCTTCTCTAACAGTAATGAATGCTTTTTATTGATTTTCTTTAATCATATAATGCAAACCTTTATGGATAACCTAAAGCTTAAGAACTAATGCCATAAGGATGAGCATAAGAAAACATAGAATGCAAACTAAAGTTCTATTTGTATGACGGCTACTGATACTACCTAGCTGCTCAAAATGAAGCATTCGAAATGACATTCAGTCGTCTAAAGTTGATTGCTTAAAACCATACGTCAATGTTTGATTGGAATTAGGTATATGTTTTACATCGCACATGTTTCCATTTCGACAATGAATTTTTTTAGTACATTAACATAACTACTAACCTTCATCGTCAACTTCTGGTATCAAGAATAATCTTGGTTGATCTAATCGCCTTTGAACATCGAAAAAGTTACATCTAGTAGTCTGTACATCATGATACATTTGAACAAGACTGGCATTCAACTTCTCACCATTAATACCAGGTATATGTAGTAAATCATTATCAGGGCGCTGACCTTCGACCGGTAATATTCCTGATCGTTTCTCTACAATCTTCTTGTGATGGTCCACACCAGCGGATAAGTTAGTATGTTTTAAAATAGAATTGAGTTCATCTTCTACATTGTGCAAAACATTGCAACACTGCGATACTATCTCTGATTCCGATAAGCCAAATTTTTTAACACAATTATTACTATTATTGTTACTGTTATTCAAGGGAAAGTACCTACAAATTTGTGAAATGCGGAAAAAATTTAAACAAAGCAAAAGCGACATTTGCGAAATACAGTTAATATATTGTACATATTTGCTTGCTCTTCAGCTACACACAAGATAATTAGTTTAAAAGGTTTATTTATTTAAACACATAAACATTGGTACAAAGAGGAACTAAATAGATATGCGCCACATAAACCATTCAATTTGTGTGAGGACTGGGATACTGCCCAGGTGCCTAACGCAAAGCAGATGGTTTTCTTCGTGAGATACAACCAACAATAGGCTGATACTCCATTTGTTTCCTTAGGATCCTGGAGCCCACATTCGCTTTTTGTCCTCTCGATTTCGTAAATAACAACCCCACTACGATAAAACAGTGAGTAGGACTTCCCTGGCAGTGGTTGTATGCACGTGGCTATGTGAGAGCGATTCGAGAAGGAGAGCTTACTCTCTCAGCCCTGTTAACTAGAGAGAGAAGACTCGGTTCAGATAACGGAAAAATATATTCCACAAGCACCCAGAAGCACGAACGACAACAAGCACACAGCTCAAGTGTCTATATACAGCATAAAAATGTCTTTAGGGAAAAATCACAAAATAGCATTTTAAAAAAGTGAAACGAATCAATCGCATTAATGGTCAGAATCTGAAAAAACGTACGATATTAAAGTTCGATACAATTCTAGAACATACCACTATTATTTTGAATTATCCTCTTTAGTTATTTGGTGAGGATTAATTTTCAAACAAAAAGGATCTTATGATATATTATAATAGTAACTCGATGAACAACCATTAATTGACGACTAGGAAGAAAAACTATGTAGTAAAAGTTACATAATCTAGTACAGAATCTATCAATCACATGACTGTAGTATGTTATCAGTCATAAAATGTCAATAAACATCGCTCCTATAAGGTGGGAGTTATTTTTATACTGTTAGTATTAGACAAAACAAAGCGAATACTAAACAACTAGCAAAAATGTTTTTTATTCAGCATATAAGAGAAAAAGTCCAAATGATTAAGATTATATAAATTAATCTGAGATAAACTAACCCATCAAGTTTTTCACCAGAAAAAGGTTTGGATTTTTCTTGAATTGTATTTAATGAAGTTAAACAGTGGGTTGGATCTTGAAAATAATGTAAAATAATAATAAACATAAATCGTACTTGTTTTTTTTTCCAATTGAAATGAAGCGTTTTTAGTGAAAAACGATGAACATGTTACCACGCAGTAGTATAGGTGTCAGTATCTGTTATACATTATAAGTAAAAACTTAAATCTTTGTTAAAAATAATTATACTTTAATTGTGAAATGAATTAATGAACCTATGACTAATACTATTTGAAAATGAAGTTATCAAAAATAGTGTTTCTAGACGAAGATGAAACTACAGACATTTTCCCTATTAAATAACATTCCCTGATAGTTTTAAACGGACAAAGTTATATTACTACCAACGCCTCCCAACAAATTAGACTATATTTCAAGAACGTGGACAAATTAGAAAATACAGAAGTTTTTCGTACTATATTTGGTAGTGAACTTACTATGAATGTATCTTATTTACTGAGTACCGATTCGTATATTCGACTTTAAAATAAACTCGATATTAGAGCTTGTAATACAACTACTCGGTTGATCAATTCAAAATAGGCGGAGCGTAATTCCAACCCACAGACTGGTGGTTTAAACATGAACACCAAACCACTATAATCCACCTATTTACTTTGGAATGAAAAACCATATTAAAAATTCTGTATAACCTGGATTTACTATTAATTTGATTGATGTTGAACTAGTGTTACTAATTTGTTTTGATATTAAAGACAATATTAGTAGGACAATAACTTCCAAGTTGACTATTTCTCTATGATGAATAAATATTGAAAATGTAAGTTGTCATTCTTAAAGTTAATATTCTTGAGATGGTTTGGATACATTTTTTTAAAACCATAGCTACCAACGCTGTTCCCCAATGCTCACTTTGTCTCATCATTACATTTTATTACAGTCTTGAAAAAATTGTGTGAAATAGTTCCATGTGTACTAATTAGAACATAGATTTCTGGGAAAATTTAATGTTGATTATTATTATTAATAATGGCTTTATTCAATATTATATTTTGGTACAATATAGAATTCTCAGCACAGGGTATTTCAACAAGTTACTTACTGAACAACGAACAAAAAGGCAGTAGCAAATACAAAAAATAAATAATAAAAAAAAAACAAAAAAAGAAACTGTACAAACTTTTAGAATTAATGACATGTTAAGAATGTAAGTTATTGACTAGGTTAATTCTAACAACCTGTTCGTCACAGAGTATATTTGCTAGGTAAGGTATTATAGAACTTTTATACTTTTCCTTGCGTGCATGGATTTTAATGTAATTACGTCTCGTTCTACCAGAAGATATACAAGGAAAAAAATATGAGTGAAGGGGATGGCTAGTATCTGATAAAATAACACCTGCCAGGAGTTTGCATGATTTTAAATGTCTATCCACAACCATATTAATTATGAACTTGAAAGATTCACCACACGTCTTGCTAACTGTCTTCAGCACTCTTCGCAATACAGCGACCGGGAAAGAATAATGGAGAACAGTAAAGAATAATAGGTAATATGCAAGAATTGACAAATTGTAAGAGTAAATGACGAGTAATCCCAAGAGCATGCAATCTCTTTATGTAGTAGGTCAGACGGAAAACCTTCTTCGATAACGATAAAACGTAGGAAGACCAAGACAGATCAGAGGAAAAGGTGACATCAAGATAATTGACCTTCGACACTGAGTTTATCAAAGAGTCTCCGATGGTACAAGCACCATGGGATCTCAAAGTAGTGTTTATATTCCGTTCATGTCTCATGCTTAAGTTAACAGCTTGACATTTAGACGGATTAAGTATGAGACCATTACCAACAGACCAACAATCAATACGAGACAAAAACTCATTCATTTCTATGGGATGTAAAGAGGAGGAGATAGGCATACATACAGTGAGATCATCCGCATACTTCACAAAAGTGTTTTCTGTGGAAGATGGCAGGTCATGCAGAAAAAAAAGAGAATAGAAGAGGTGAAAGAACAGCTCCTTGTGGTACACCTTCCTGAGACAGTAGAGACTCTGAACTCTTTCCTCCAAACACAGTGTACTGTTCCCTTCCAGAGAGGTAGGAACATAGCCAGTTGGTTATCCAGCTGTCAGTGTTAACGCTGATTAACTTGTTAAGTAAACGTTGTCTTGGTATAGAGTCAAAAGCTGAAGTATAGTCCAGAAAAGCACATCGAACATACTTCTTACCCTTTTCTAAGTTGAACACTATATTGTGATGCAGAACTGCAACAGCATCTAAAGTGCTTCTTTTGAGCCTGTATGCAAACTGGTATGGGTCAGTATGCTCTTTTATCGCAGGCTGAAGTGGAAGTATTAATAATTTTTCCATGGTTTTGAGGAAGGGTGAAGTTATTGCAATAGGTCTAAATCTTACATTCTTATCACCAGATGTTTTCTTGGGTACAGGAATTATCTTCATCTTTCTCCACATTTTCGGTATGAGATTAGATGAGAAGGATCTGTTAAATATAGTTGTGAACGGATGACACAGAACATCAGCACATTTTTAAAAAAGGATGTTTGGGATACCATCAGGTCCCAAACATCGAGATGAATTAAGTGACTGGAGACATCCTCGTACATCAGTTTCAGTGAAAGTAGGAACACAGCTATTTTTTAAACCCGTGGATAGAGGGAGCATCACATCAGATGACTGACGTACAAAAGACTTATTTAAGTCACAAGCATTCAGCTGGTTATCGCTTCTAAACTTTCTGTTACCTGTAAGTTCTTTAAAGAATTTCCACATACTTGGAGGGTTTTTGCAAGACAAGAGTTTTTGAGTAAACATAGAGTTGAGACGTCTAATCTCTAGGTTTATCAGACCATTTAGCTTACGAACTTCATTAGAGTTCTTCTCCTTGTACATTCTTTCTTTCATCCTCCGTAGTCGTTTTAGTTGTGAAGATGTAAGTCGATCAAAACTTACAAAAATGGTTTCAGTGGGACAACAAATATCAAAACAGAATTTAAGGTAACAAGTGATAACATCAGTAGTGTTTTCGAGTGAGTCATCTGTAAATAGTTCCCAGTTAGCCGTATGAAACATGTTTTTCAGATTTCGGATATTTTCTTCTGAGTAATTCCTATATTTGACTTTCTTGGTTTTATGTGAGAGTGTAATCTTCCCATGCTTTCCATACACTTTAGGTAGAACACGAATTATACAGTGATCTGAGCTAGACAATGGAGCACGTTTACGAGTCGCATATATACCCACATCATTAATGAAGACGAAGTCTAGATGAGCATCCAAACGGGTAGGAAAATCCACTACATTTTGGTGACCTAGCGTCAGTCAGTCAGTAACAACGTAGAACTTCGTACGTACGTACACCAGTTCGAGTTGCCACACCACATTAGCACAGAGATGCAGTTGTCGATTCAAATCCCATTGTGGTAGAGGTAGCAAGAGTGTAAGCAGTGATCGAGAAGATTAGGGTTCGGAGATGTTATTTAAAGAGTATAATTCAGTGAAATAAATTTGGAAAGAGGAAAAAAAGGGACATGAAGAATTCAGAAGATTAGAATTTGGGAGAGCACAAAGAGTGGATGCACCTGCGCCATTGCAAACGATTTTGAGCCATATCATTCAGGGTCTCTAACCATCGGTTGCTATCATCTCGCGGTCCCCAACCAGGTAGTCTACACCTACCAACATGACTCAGTCCACTTGTCGGTGACTTCATGGACTTGTACCATGTTTTGGTCTGGCCGCCCCTACCTTTTTTCCAACCTACTCCTATACCACTGAACATCGCACGTCGAGGTAGTCGGTCGTTGGGCATACGTAACACGTGTCCCAGCCATCTCAACTGATGAAGTTTCACTACTTCATCAATTGATTTGCCATCCTTACCTAGTGCCCGTTTCCTAACAACTCTGTTACTTACTCGATGGTCCCATGATATACGAGCAATATTTCGAAGACACCTATGATCGAATACTAGTAACCTACGAATATCCTCTACCCTTATCGGCCATGTTTCACTTCCATAAAGTAGCACGGGACGAACTGCTGCGCAGTAAACCCGTCCTTTGGTTGATAGACGGATATCTCGCCTACGCCATAAATGACGCAAGTTGGCAAAAGCTAGTCGAGCCTTCTGTATCCGTACTGACATTTCGTCACACACCAGACCACAAGGGCTGATGCGACTTCCAAGATAAGTGAAGCGGTCGACACACTCAACTACTTCACTCCCTATCACTAGTTCCGGGGTTGATGTAACCCAATCCCGAAGCAACATTTTGCATTTCGAAGGGGAAAATCGCATCCCGAACATGCTTGAATTGTTGCTTAGAGTGATCAGAAGACTCTGCATTTTGTCAGTGTCTTCACCAAATAAAACTATGTCATCAGCATATTCTAAGTCAACAAGTGAACCTCCCGGTAGAAGTTCAACCCCTGGAAATCCAGACGAGGAAAGTGTCATTTCTAAAAGCAGGTCAACGACAAAGTTGAACAAGAATAGAGAGAGTGGACAGCCTTGACGAACACCACTTGATGTAATCAATTCTGATGACAGTTCGCCATAAGCTCTCACTCGACCAGTTGTGTTCGAGTAGAGAGCCTAAATAAGGTTAATGTACTTCTTTGGTACTCCTTTCAGTGACAAACACTGCCATAGAACCTCACGATCAACAGAGTCGAATGCCGCCTTAAGATCGAGAAATACTACCATTGTGGGGCGTCTGAATGTGTGTCTGTGTTCTAGAACCTGACGTAGTGTGAATATCTGATCTATACAACCACGTCCAGGTCGTAAACCGGCCTGGTTTTCTCTAATCTGCTCTTCACGAGCTTTGATTAGGCGTCGAAGTATTATTGAGGCTAATATTTTAGACACTATATTAGTCAAACTGATTCCTCTGTGATTGTCACAAGAGGACTTTTGTCCTTTCTTATAGACTGGCACAATCAGTGATTGACACCAGTCAGATGGGATCACGTCCAGTTCCCAAATCCTACCTAAGACCTCAGTTAATCTCACTGCTAATACTGAACCACCATCCTTAAAAATCTCAGGAGTAAACCTGTCAGGGCCTGCTGCTCTCCCTCGCTCCAGATTTCCTATGGCTTTTTCAACTTCGTAAAGAGACGGATGACCTACATTAACTTGTCATTCAGGTTGACTGGAGATCGTGGGAAACCGAAGTGTGGCTGAAGGCCAGTTGAACTGACCCCTGAAGTGTTCTGCCCATCGATCCAATCTCCTGGATTGAGAATTAATAATATGTCCATCTTTCTCTGAGAATGTTTCGCTAACAGTCAGTTTCCTTAACATGTCTGAACAATTGTCTGCTATTACCTATTGCCGCTGCCTTCTCCATCTCTCTTGCTTTCGCTACCCACCACTGTTCACGATCATTGCGTAGACTTCTTGTCAGCTTGCGCTTAAGCTGACTCCGCTCTTCATTATGTTCAGAGCCAGATGGAATGAGTTTCCGAGCATCTATCAGTGCGATAGACGATGCTGAGATCCAGTGTTGCTCCCTAACCTTGTGGTTTACCTTACTAGCAGATATCACTGCTGTTTCCACAGCTTTTCGGATATCATTCCATGCTGCCTCGGGGTGGGCATCACATACATGGCTGCCTAACAGTTTTCCTAGTTGTTCCCGATATATACTCTTAGCTTGACTATCATTAAGTAGGGCCCTAAAAGGTTTCCTTGCAGCGTCTTTCCTACTTCCAGTAAGACGCAAGCAAATACGCGCTCGTACTAGAGCATGATCTGAATCTAAGCATGTGCTCCAGAATGAGCGACAGTCTTCTATCGAGCCCCTCCATCGGTGGCTGATAGCGATGTGATCTATTTGGGTCCAACGTTGGGACGAATTAGGAGGTCGCCATGTTAAAAGATGTTTTTCCTTATGCTTAAAGTTAGTATTTGCAAGGAACAGGCTATTATCTGAGCATAGCTGCAACAGATGGTCGCCATTATCTGTTCCTTTAGCCACGACACCATAAGATCCACCTAGGTGTCTTTCCCTATCACTTAGTTTACCTACTTGAGCATTAAAGTCACCGGCCACTATCACTACATCTGAGCGCCTAGCCTTTCAGAGGAGGTCGGACAGCTTTCTGTAAAACTCGTCTTTTACATCATCTGTGCTGCAGTCAGTGGGAGAATAGGCAGAGACGATGAAGAGGCAACGACTAGTGTCCCTATCTTTTCGGATCGTTACTGTTCTGTTCAGTCGAACAGTGCACAAACGACTGTCTACTGGGATCCACTCTAAGAGAGCTAATTCTGCTCTGGGACTCAATGCTATACCTACGCCGGCGAGGCCACGGGAAGCAGAATCAGGGCTTCCAGATACACGAAGCGTAAATCGAGTCGGTTCTTTATTTTGGCATGGTGAAGTCAAATGAATGACGCTACTCAGATCTTGTATGCGCGTTTCGGAGACGCAGCACATATCGATGGCGCGAGATTCTAAAGTTCTAGCTAAGGAAGCCTGCTGTCCTATTTGGCACAGTGTTTGGACGTTAAAAGCTCCTACGTGTAGTTTAGAGCGTGGTTTCAGGAGGCCAGGAATGGCGTTCCACGTACTCGAATCGTTTGCCCTAGTGGTGCAAGGTGATAAAGAGACGTGAGGAGGGTTAGTCATGGAGATAAGAGAGGTATTAGGAGGTGTAGGAAGGATTTGAATGTGACCATCATCAGCAAAAACAGATAGTGCAGATGATGTGCAATCTGGAGTAACGTAGATATTGGTAACATAAACATATTTGTATTTATTCAGATGTTTTGGACGACATCTTAGAGTTAGACAGTCGATAAAGTCATTTGAAAACTTAAAACACACAAACGAAGATCGACACCAGCTTATGTTTACAAACGTAGCTACACCGCCACCACACCTCTTTTTATTGTTCGATCGATCCTGATGATAAATTTTAAAATCACGTAGTGACACAAGGCAGTCATCCTGTAAATCATTCAACCAAGATTCTTGAATTGTGATGACACCACAATTACGATACGTATTTTGACTAAGTAGGAATTGCAGATAGTCCACTTTGTTGATTAGTGATCGGCAGTTAGAATTTAGCAGCTCGGGAATCGACATACGATTAATGTTCATTCTCTTTAACGCATATTGCCAACCACCACGATGTCTTTTATAGTACTTTTTTGTAACTTGTGCAGCGAAAGGTCGTAGGCTTTTCATAAAAGCGCCTGAATAGGTTATGCGATTAATGGACATAATTATAAATTAAAACAAATGAAAAAACAGATAACTTGTTGAAATAATCAGATGGCAGAAACAAGTAGCCCAGATATTCAAGCAGGCCGCTGTTCTGAATATCAATCGAACGCTATAAGAAGTTCGACTGTATTGAATAGTTATCCTAGTTTAAATACTGATGGTAGGTTTTGAAAAGACAGTCACATCATAATGAAACATTTTTTAAGAGCTAGCGTAAGATCCCTCTAAAAAATCGTATGTGGTGGACGCTACACTCAAGATTACATGTAATTAATGTGATGCGGGACGTGGAGTCAAAGTTATCACAATCGTCAGACTGAGAGAAGAGTTTCAATACATCAAAAGCATGACGTAGGAATAATACTTAATGATCAGATGAGAAAACGGTTTAGACCGCAGAACACACCACAAGATGCAAATGAATGATAGAAGGCTATGTATACGTAATATATAAACCCTTTGTAATTTCTATCTAAAATTAATCCTGTTACCGATTGTTTTGTTCTACAATATTTTTCACTACATGAATGAATGTTAGATTAAATAGTTCGTGCTGGTTCCTTGAAATAAGTACAATCACGCCTTTGTTTTAAAGTAAATATGGTTACTAACCACTGTATGAAAAGTCTAATTTAACTCGTTTAACAAACACAAGTTCAGGTATACAACTTTAAATCACACAGCTTTTGTAGAAGTTAGAGATAATAGTCGATTACCCAAAGTGAACCTGTAATCTACTTGTTCAAAGCTGGACGTTTCAACCCCTAAACTACTGTTCTATAAAAAATACAGGTATCAACATCGAGTGTATTATATAAGATTATTATTTAAACACATAAACATTGGCACAAAGAGGCACTAAAATGTATATGCATTACACAATTTATTGACGGTCAGGATACTACACGGTTACCCGAACCGAGGCAGGTGACTTTTCTAAGGGGACTATCCCACGAGTCTTTGACCTGGAGTTCCGAACCCCAGGGTAGTGAAGGAATGTTAGAAGATGATGTCCCTCGATGAGCTCCTTCGATTTAAATTTTATCACGTCTATAATTCCCATGACAAGTAACTGCACTAAACTCCTACAGTAAGTTTAGGTTGCAAGAAAACTACAAACACGTGTAGTCTAATGAAAAAAACCACCGAAAACTATTAATCAGAAAGAACATTAGGTATAAACTTACTAGGTTTTGACTCATTATTAACTTCTACTGAAGTCAACGTTTCTGCGCTGATATTCGAAGGCTTTTGTGATGATGCAAGTCCTTTGTCTGATGAAACTGAGGACGGTTCCGAAAGTCCTGATGGAGTAGGTACGACAGAATTTTCCTGAGTATCAAGAAAACCTGAATAATTTTGCGCGATAAAATTGTCAGGGATTAAACGATTTTCGGAACTGTTTTTAGTTAGCTTTACGTCAGTAGTGTTTCGATTTATTTCAGTAGGAGTATCATCTTGTGCAGAGTTTTGACGTGCAGTTGTAGGTTGATCACGACTTCGTGACTGAAGGTGAGCGGATAAAATTCTTGGACCAACAGTAACAAGTGATACTAACCTTCTGTACTCTGGGTACATAAGTGGTAGTATTTTATTCCTATATCTATCTAATTTTTCACACACAACCGGGTCAAGAAACGCAGCTGCTGGGGCCTGATTATATACATGAATTAATGAGGCTGAATAATCAGTTAAATCTGTTCAATGAAAAGAAATGCATCAAGGAAAAGTAGATTAATATAGCTGCAGATGAGTTGATGTGAATGAAAGATAATGATAGATCTTATATGATTGATAGAATTAAAATCGAGCAAACATCTTCGAAACCAGACTGATTTTTATGAATGATAAAATTTTTCGATTAAGGTAATCAAAATTTCATTACCTACAAATGTGATAATTTTAAGAGATTGTCTTAGCCTTATTAACTTCATCCACAAAGGATAACTTACCTGCACAAACTTAATAGAAGAAAAGTTTCAGTTTATAACATATAACAAATATAAATCGAAATTGAAAGATTAAACTTAATATAAGTTGTTAACATTTTCTGGAATTTTTTTCTAAATTTCTCTCTAAAGTTGAATTTTTATAAACAAATAAAATCATTCAGTTTTCAGACAACACATTGGTACAAAGTGGCACCAAATACATATATGCCACAATGTGAAGAGATAGGGAAAGTAAGGTGCATATAAGGAAAAAGTACAACAATGAACAAAATGAGTGTATGATAGTAAAATAATAATAATGGTAGAGACAGTTCAATTCGCAAAATTACAGCTACAGAGGATTCTTTTAGTTAAAGAAGTTACGCCCTTTTTCTAATAAAGAAAGTAAAATAAAGTTACACCAGGATTGCCACTCCCTTCTATTCTGAGCCATATCTAATAACACCTCTAGCCACTGTGTTGCACTATCTCTAGGTCCCCGAACGCCCTGGTACGGCCGAGAGTGGGGAGAGTCCGCTCTCCCTCTCGAAATACTCTCACACGGCCACGCGTATACAGCCTCTGCCAGGGAAGTCCTACTCATTGCCTTCTCGTGGCGGGGGTGTTGTTTACGAAAATGAGAGGACGAAAAGCGAACGTCTGGCGCTTTAACCGGATCACAAACCAATGGTGCACATGGGCTCCAGTATCCTGCGGGAACAAATGGCGTATGAACCAATCGTTGGCCACCGGCTACCATGGGATTGCATCTCCTCACGATGCTCCACTGCCTTGTGGGTTAGACCATTAGGTCAAAGGCTCGGGGTGTGGCCCCCTAAGATAACCACCTGCTTCGGTTTGTGCACCCGGGCAGTATTACAGCCCACATACAAACGATGAACTCTTTATGTCTATGGAAATTACCTTTCTCGCTTCGAAAAACAATAAATTGATTCAAATTATTATCATTACAATTATTGTCATTATTAATACTATTATTATTATTACCATTATTGTCATTATTATTATTATTATTTTCCACATTATTCACCCTCTTTTATACTTATACAGCGGCTCGTCTTTGGTGGAAATTCGACTGTATCTAAACGTTCTCTAGTCACTGTCCGGTTGAAAATTGTATGTTACCACCGAATACGAGAACTGAAGCAGTTTTTCTGAAACCACGTGCACCATTCAAACTGGCTGCCTTCAATGTTCGCACACTAGTACAGGTCGGACAACAGATAGGTTTGGCTATGTCTTTGGAAAGTCTTCATATTGATGTTTGTTGTCTATCCGAGACCCGTATTCAAGACTCTGGCGAAGTACTACAAATTCGATCTCCATCTGTCGCTTCGAAAAGCTTGTTTAACGTGCGCTTATCCGGGGACCCTGTGGCATCTTCGTCTGGTCTTGCTGGCGTTGGTGTCGCACTAAGCGCTAGAGCTGAGGCAGCACTAGTCGATTGGATCCCCATTAACAGTCGGTTATGTGCTGTTAGATTAGAAAGTTCCATCAAAGTGAGAAGAAATCGGCGTGAGAAACGATGTCTTTTCGTCATCTCCGCCTATGCCCCGACAGATTGCAGCCCGGATGCAATCAAGGATGAGTTTTACCACCAGTTATCTGTTCTTCTCCAGAAAGTGCGTTCGACAGATATCGTAGTACTAGCCGGAGACTTGAATGCGCAGGTCGGGCGTCTAGGCACAGAAGAGAGTCGTTTAGGTGGCCGATGGGGACTCGTTGGTCGCAGGTCAGATAACGGGGACCGTCTACTGCAACTTTGCACAGACCACACGCTGTTTCTGGCTAGCACTAACTTTCGGCACAGTCATCGCCGATGTGCCACCTGGCGTCCTCCCTCTGCATCCAAAGCCTGGACTCAGATTGATCACATCGCGATCAGCTTCCGCTGGCGTGGTTGTGTACAAGACTGCCGCTCCTTTTGGAGTACCTATCTGGACTCTGACCATGCTTTGGTCTGCGCCAATCTTACCTTACTTTTCAGTGGACAACGAAGTGACCGCCATAAAAGGATTGATATTTGCAAGCTGGTTGCAACTTCTGTTGCAAATAAGTATCGAACCGAGCTAGCCTCTAGGCTAGCTACCACTCCACCGAAAGGTATAGATGAGCATTGGTTGCAATTGCATGACGCCATGAAAATGGCGGGAACAGTCAGTTGTGGGTTTGCGAAACGTCCCGCTTTTAAGCACTGGGTTTCTTCTGGTTCCTTACAACTTATTGAAGCCCATCGGTCTACTCCGGGTGACCGTGAGTTTGACCACAAACGAAGGATTTTACGTAAGGAAATTGGGCAAAGCTTGCGTAAGGACCGAGAAGCCTGGTGGTCGGAGCGTGCTAATGAGCTGGAAGCAGCAGCTGCATCTGGTAACTACCGGAAGCTCTTCCAGCTCATCCGAGCCACTGGCAGCAAGAAGTCTGGTGTGAGTGAAACAATCTGCGAGGATGATGGGATGCCAATCACTAACATCCATCGACGTCTTGGACGATGGGCAGAGTTCTTCGAAGGGCAGTTTAACTGGCTTGCTGCTCCGGCAACATCGGTCAGACTGTCCTGCCCTCCATGGCCGGTGACGACTGATCCACCAAACGAGGAGGAAGTCCGCAAGGAACTCCAACTCCTGAAGCGTTACAAATCACCTGGCCCAGATGACTTACCTCCGGCTCTTTTTAAAGATGGTGGTGACTTTTTGACTAAGGAATTGACGACGTTGTTTACAAAGGTTTGGGAATTAGAGAGTGTACCAACGTAATGGAATGAGTCGATAGTTGTCCCTATCTTTAAAAAGGGTTCACGTCGTTCCTGCAACAACTATCGGGGGATAAGTCTACTTCCGATTGCGTCCAAGCTATTGGCTTCCGTCATACTTCGTAGGTTGTTCAAAACCCGAGAAAGATTGACTCGCGAGGAGCAGGCTGGGTTTCGTTCTGGTCGAGGATGTATTGATCATATCTTCACCCTCCGTCAAATGTTAGAACATCGCCATAATTATCAAAGGCCAACAATCGTAGTGTTTCTTGACATCAGGGCTGCCTTCGATTCGTTGGACAGGACTGTTCTCTGGGATTGTCTATTGAAGAAGGGTGTGCCTGAGAAGTTTATTAACATCCTAAAAGCCCTATATAAAAACACCTCAGGCAGAGTGAGGGCATACAACCACCTCTCTCCATTGTTCCATTCGAGTAGTGGGGTTAGGCAGGGTTGCCCAATCTCACCATTCCTCTTCAACTTTGTGTTGTAACGTGTGAGTGACTGCAGGTTATTGATACGCAGCGTTTATATCGATCGATCGGTTACAGTGACACGTAAATACGTACGAACGACCTAGTGTCCTGATTGGCCCTGCTTCCCTGTCTACCCCAGCCAGTTGAGTCCAGAACGAAAGTCACAGCCTCTGAGATATGAATCATTATATTTCAAACACACTCTGTTTATATACTAACCAAGCAGACCACATCATACCATAAAAATAGGAAACAACATTTACACAATATTAAACAACTGAAGCAAATATCGACCAATAGGAAATGTACATTTAACGTCCAAGGACACCATTCGACTTGACACGATAATTATTGGCATATTCCTCTGCATACCTAACACTTTGCCATCGATGACATTCTGGAAACAGCTCTGATGAATGTAAGTAATGGTGGTGTGGATCTGTCGCCTGGAGAAAGACTTCTCGACCTTGAGTATGCGGACGATATTGTCTTACTGTGCGATAATGCCCAAGGCATGCAATCCGCACTTAATCAGTTGGCAATCAGTGTCCGTAGGTATGGTATGTGCTTTGCACCTTCGAAGTGCAAAGTACTTCTACAAGACTGGCAGGATTCCAATCCTGTACTCACCCTGGATGGTGAGCAGATAGAAGTAGTCGAGAAGTTCGTGTATCTGGGTAGCTGCATAAGTGCTGGTGGGGGTGTGAGTGATGAGATCAATGCACGTATAGTGAAAGCCAGAGTGGCTTATGCCAACCTGGGCCATCTTTGGCGCCTTCGTGATGTTAGTCTGGCTGTAAAAGGTCGAATCTACAACGCGTCGGTGAGAGCAGTTTTGCTCTATGCTTGTGAAACCTGGCCTCTCCGAGTTGAGGACGTTAGACGACTCTCTGTGTTCGATCATTGATGTCTCCGAAGGATTGCTGACATTCAGTGGCAACACCATGTCAGTAATGTAAAGGTTCAGCATCGTGTGTTCGGGCACAGAGAAGATAATTCAATTGGTGTCACCATCTTGAAACACCGACTTCGGTGGCTTGGACATGTTCTACGAATGTCGTCCCAGAGAATTCCACGTTGTGCATTATTTGCCGACTCTGGGACTGGTTGGAAAAAGCGGAGAGGTGGTCAGTGCATGACATGGTGTCGTGGTATGAAAGAAAGCTGCAAAGGACTGGCTTGTGTTGGTCCTTCACGACTCCCTGGTTGGGGTCTGAGAGATGGTGCTACACAGTGGCTAGAGACGTTATCAGATATGGCTCAGAATAGAAGCCAGTGGCGATCCTGCTGTAACCTTCTTTTACTTTCTTCATAAAAAGTGGTTGTGTCTCCCTTACTTGAAAGATTTCTTCTGATTGTACCTTTCCGTTCCATCGTTACGACCACACTACCTTACACCAATCTCTTCGTTATCATTCTCTTTTTCTTTTTTGCTCCTTAGTTCTTTTTCTATCTCTTCGAATTTTCATTGTTTTGTGTGGCGCATATATATTGGCGCTTTCTTGTACCAATATTTATGTGTTTAAATAATAATAATAATAATCTCTAGGACCCCAACAACACAATGTCTCAAACCATTGTAATATATTGTTATTTAAAACAGAAATGTATATAATACAACATTCAACAATTTTAAATAGGTGAACAAAATCGAATGGTATCATATAGAGATGTCAGAATATATGATAAATCTAACCCTTTAATAATTAAATCGCAAGCTTCTCAGAATAGATCTAAGGAAGATTAGTTATAGATTTATATTTTTTTAAAACAAAAGCAACTATTAAAATTGAATAAAAGTCCTTTATTATAATTATTACTGGATTTAAACACGTATGATTGATATACAAAAACAAAATATTCTCTTTCTTTTTGGTTGAATATTTATGAAAATATAAATAATAGTTTTAAATTTCCACTATATTTATATATTCTTAGAATTAATTAGAGATTTCGACTTATAAAGTTTGTTATATCAGGAGATGAGAATCACTTTCACAAGTGAATTATCAAATCGTCAACATCAGTAATGACTAATATTTATTTAAATACATAATTTATTATTGCGAAAACAAGAATAAATTACAAAATATGTATAAACATTAACTTACTTATCAGTCGATTGATTGCATTTGAAACATCTTTAGACTCAGCTTCAGTAGAATGAAGATATTGTCCAAGAATGTTATTTGATGTAGAATAATTCCCAATAAATTGTTGTTGTTCAGACAAAGATGAAATGTCAACATCTTCAACTTCTAAACTTTTATTATCTTTGCTGATAATAGATGGATTAGTTTTATTTACATTAGAAATTTGTAAACCTTGTACACTAGTTGTCAATTTTTTTATATCTGTACAATTCTTATTATCTGATGACTTTTTCTGTATATCAGAGTGTTTACGACCGCGTAATGCATGGATTGGCATGGCATTCGGTGTAAAAACAGTTGGTTTTAGACCTATTGCTCTATCGATAAGCCGGTGTAACTGAGTTGAAGCAGTAGTTAAATTATCACTGACAACAAGTACAACATGGCATACATTTATTAAAAAGGCGACAATCTAAAATTTAAAACAAAAATACATCAAACGAAAAAAAATTATTGTCATTTAGACTTGGTAGCGTATTGATTTACTCATAAGATAGTAAAATACTGAGAATTAACCATATAGCGGAAACATGTTTTATGTAAATAATATATACACACTAATATGTTGATACACCGAAATTTCATAAAGGCGAGTATAACACATATTGTCATAAGAAACACTCATTAAATTAATGATCATATGGCAAAACTAACGTTATTGTTAAATATATATTATATCCTCATGTCTATGAAATCTTAGATGACAAATAAGAAATTTCCACTTTTTAGGCCGATTGCGTTTTAGATACGAACTTCGAGATAGTACTCTGATGTAACAACGGTTTTTTTAGTCGTAAAGTTTTCGGAGTTTTATTGGCGAAAATGAAAAATGGACATTTATATTGAAAATTAAATGCATTTAAATATTACTATCGTTGGTTATATGACACACTGCTTGTGTATAACTAAACGGTCAATCAACGGGAACGTTTACACACTTATAGTAATGCATATCCACCAATTAGTTTCAAGAGAAGCATGATAACAGCATGGTATTGTTCACTTTACTCCTATACGAAAGACCGGGTATTTCCGTACAAAGGAATATATTTAGAAAATAAATTAGATTAATCACATTCTAACACATCAACTGGATAGATTTATTAAAATGAAGTCTAATGCCAGTGAATAACATGTTACGTCAACCAACCCTATAATGATGCAGCAAATCAAACATAAGTTATGAATGATGGGTACAACAGCTTGTGAATAACACTCTGATTGCTCCTGTGTATCTAGCCTTATAAGTCATACCCGAAATAGACTCATCCCATACGCAATCCGATTGACATTATCAGTCAGTCAGTAACAACGTAGAACTTCGTACGTACGTACATCAGTTCGAGTTGCCATACCACATTAGCACAGAGATGCAGTGGTCGATTCAAATCCCATTGTGGTAGAGGTAGCAAGAGTGTAAGCAGTGATCGGGAAGATTAGGGTTTGGAGATGTTATTTAAGGAGTATAATTCAGTGAAATAAATTTGGAAAGAGGAAAAAAAGGGACATGAAGAATTCAGAAGATTAGAATTTGGGAGAGCACAAAGAATGGATGCACCTGCGCCATTGCAAACGATTTTGAGCCATATCATTCAGGGTCTCTAACCATCGGTTGCTATCATCTCGCGGTCCCCAACCAGGTAGTCTATACCTACCAACATGACCCAGTCCACTTGTCAGTGACTTCATGGATTTGTGCCATGTTTTGGTTTGGCCGCCCCTAGCTTTCTTCCAACCTACTCCTATACCACTGAATATAGCACGTCGAGGTAGTCGGTGGTTGGGCATACGTAACACGTGTCCCAGCCATCTCAACTGATGAAGTTTCACTACTTCATCATTATCAGCATATACAATAAACGTTTGCCCACTGCTCCGTTCATATACATCTTTATCTATCCCCTTCAATGACATATTGTTAGCTGCACATCCCTTAATTTACAGAACATTCTTATTATTACCACGATTACTATCAATAATATCATCAAAATATCTAGGACATGATATCTATTTTATTTCATATTACCGTTTAGCAATTTAGACACAACTGATGGGAAATATACTACTTTCAACTTTTAAGATAGAACAAATTAACCATAGTTTTCATATGTATGCCAAGACAGACCATACAATGTAAAGTAAAATTTATGGATTTATAAGTGAAGGGTTTAAACAGAAGTTTATTGAAAACGACTATTTGCTCAAATATTCTCTACTTTTAAGTATTCTATGGGGACGTTAATTTGCTAACGAACAAAAACTTTGAAATGATAACCGTTCAATGAAAATGAAATGCACAAAAGAACAAATATATACAAACAGCCGCTAAACTTTTTGGTAGAGTTTTGGTCTCTGAACTGAATGGTTTAGTCGTGGAGCTCGATCTTGAGGTCTACAGGACAAGCTGTGAGTCATATGTGGAGAAATTCGAACACTTCACACCTACCTGAAGTTTGTGCTGATGTCGTACAGAAATAACGATGAGAGCTCAACGATTAAACTATCCAGCTCAGAGAACAAAACCCCACCAAAATCATCCACCTGAGCTACAAATCTTCTCCAACTCAAATTATCAAACATTTGCATAAACCAACTTAATTAGAAAATGAATCCTTTTCGATAAGCAAATTGTTTTACGAATCAATAGTTATATTTAAGTTGATTTATATAAATTTAACTGACCTGCATAGAAGCCATTTCAGCCCAAATATCCATGTTCCAATTACCAGGACCTGTAAGAGATGAAAGCCCTGGATGAGTACTCGAAGATGATGATGTTATATTACCAGTAGCAACCAAGTGAGTGTGATAGTTGGTGAGTGCAAATGAAAGAAGAGGCTAACAAAAAAGAACATTATAAAGGAAATATAGTTAAGAATAACAATCTTTAAATTATATAATGAGTAAATTATATCTATCATAAAAGTTTGATATTTTATCTTATTATCATAGGAAGGAGGAGAATACATTACTTCACGATTTGATTCTCTTATCAGTGTGCTGCATACTTGTTTTTGGTACCCGCTTGTGCCATTAATTGTGCGTTAAATAAATTAGATAAATAAACTAATCACTCCTAGCTTTAGAGTAGTAAATGCGTTAGTTACTGAAAATATATGGGTGTCCAAGAGGAAATATGAGTAGCGCGATTTAGTACAAAAACCCTGCATTAACAAATATTTGAACCACTGAGATATTTAGTTTGACAGAAAACGACCACTACTTTCGTACTAGCGTCTTATTTTGCTTAGTCACTAAACAGCAATTTAAAAATGCAATAAAGTAAAGTGACTAAATCAAACACTAAAGTTTGTACATATAACGAAAACACAAATACAGATCACAGCCTATACATTCAACTTAAACAGAAAAGTTACTTGGGCATCCAGAAGAATTACACGATCTTGTGTAATATATAAGTTAATACCAGCAGTACACGGGCTGTTAGTTACTACATCCTTGAGAGTTTGAATATTAAAAGGACCATCAAAAACTCCACAACCGTCAGAAATGCAATTCGCCAAAATATTTAACACAGATGATTTACCTGAACCCTAAATTCGCGAGAGAAAATCAAAATATCTCTGGTTACCTGTAAACCGATGGCGCCAACAACAAGAAATCCTGAATTGTCAACAAAAAGGTCTTGAACTGTTGCAAGATTAACGAACCTTAGTTGTTCGTCGATGAGTTTGATGGGTACTTGCATGGGATCATCACAGAGAGTGTACAGTTCATCAGGTTTACTTTCTCCATCGATTAGCTCTTCTTCATCCAGTGGAGTAGAGAAGAATTCGATGACACTTTTTATTCTTTCTTTCTAATAATGAAGGATATGTGAGCTAACACAACGTACCTCCATTCCAACGACAAAATAAGGGACTGATTAATGCACCTAGTAACTTTTTGCTGAAATGTCAGACAATAGTTATTAAGGATCTAGCGATATGACTGAATGTTCCATATATCAGATAAGGCTTTTCTAAACAATGTAAGAGACTATATAAATACGGTTAGAGACAAACGATAGTTTCGACAGGATAGCTTTACTGTTGTGAGTTCGACAATGGCTAAGAAAACTAAATTGAAGATTTCATCATAAAACTCAACGACTAGGCGCGAGTTTCTGTACTTAGCTTGAGTGGCAATGTAAAGTCATGACACTAACCAGTTTCTAAATCCAAAGTGCATCAAGGTCCGAAGACGATGCCCGATAACTGATATACAGACAAACAATTCACACAATCGAACGAATCACTTAGGTTAGGACGGGATTTTAAAAAAGTGAACCACTGGCCCAGAATATGTTAAGAGGGATGACCATATAGTCTGATATGAGTAATGGGACGAAAAAAGTCCTAATATTACGTAAGGTGGAAAACAGTTCAGTGTAAGCAGTTCCGAACCTTGATCAATCATATTGATATTGTAATTCCTAGGGATAATTCAATCACAGAAAATTATACTTAACTAGGAGCTTCTAGTCAGTTAGTAAAAGTTGATGACCTATCTCCAGTTATCTGTAGGTAGGATAATTAGCGATTGAAAATGAAAAACCCACGTGTACTAAGGTCACTCTAAGCCATTGACCACCTTAACGTGAAATCACCTACATCTGAATAAGAATAGGGACTAACATATCTCGTTGATCCGTGCAGTGTATAGAGAATATGAATGCTCAATTATAATTGGGCGTTCATGAAAAAAAAAACACATTACGAACCTGATACACATAAAAAACACAAACGACACTAAAATCGTTAAAAGTAGGAGGCATGGTATTGACGACACAAATTACATAGTTTAAGACCTTTGGTTTTCAAATGAGAATGACTGCCATATGCGTATGACTTTGATAAGACAAAGTTAGTAACTAGGGTTTCGGAACTTCATAGTTGTTGGAATTTGAAGGATTTATTATGAACGATCAGATATCTGATGGTCTGTGACTGTCACTTACTTGAACTTTGAAGATCCTAAAGGAAAACTGAAATTCTGTGAGTTAATTTTGTTTGGTCAACCTAAAGGTCACTCATTAATTTGCCGTAGGTTATTTGAGTCACAGAAAAACTTCGCGATCGCATAGGGCTGAAGTAACAAGTGATTCAGAACAGTGGAGAGAGTTTACTACAGGTGACATTCGAAATAAATAAAGACAAAGACAGAATATCACTCGCAATATATGAAATACTTACAAAATATGACTTGTGAGGCGAACACCGACTGCATTGTAACGCAGTATACGAAATAGCGCGTTTAGAACCTCAATACACTCTCTGGTGAGAAAAAGATAATCTAACCTCCAGCGTTCTAAATGTTGTCTTACGAGCATATAATCAATGACATTGGAGATAGAAAGTTTCATAAAGAGCAGAGAAGCAAGAAATCTGTTCAGTATGAATGACAAAAGTGACCAAGAATCTTTAAACTTAGGGACAGATACTACAGTAAATTCGTCTCTACAAGCTCTGAAATATCCGAGAACACTTTCAGTAAAGTTAGGAAGGCGAACGAAGCGTTGACAAATTAATATAGGTCAACTTACGATATTCTTAGAGAAATCTAAAGAAGTTGTACTCTCATATACATAGAAGAATATTGGTAATTGAATAACATATTTTCTGTTTTAGGAAAATCCACTCTGATTGCCGAATAATGGTCTCGACCTTCAACAAGGCTGATGATGATGATGATGAAAGGATGTAGACAAATTCCAAAAAAGCACGATGTGGCTAATGAAACCAAAAAAATAAATAGTTCTGAAATTTTTCGACATTTGATGCTAACCTCACTGGTTTAATAGGTACACCCATCTGAAAATGCTTGGTCATTAGATCACGGAGTTCGGAAAACAATCGACCCATAGGAAGCTATGTGACCTAAGCTGAATGGTCTGAGGATGATACAGGTATTCAGTGTTTGACTACGCTTCTACCAGTAACACCTTCTAATATAACTTGTTCCCACCGAGAGAAATCAAAAGACAGTGTCGAGGAGATCGGAAGAGTGTACTTGGCGATAACCAATATGTCGGAAGATCTCTGATCTAATCTGACTAGCGATTGCGGTTGATGTTGAGCACAGCGTTACCACACGTGATCTGGTGCGGATGCATGACCGAGCGCCTTCAGCTAGATGAGTCCACTAAAACATATGGTCAGCGTCCAATGTCGAAAACCTAGAGAGCTATTTAGTTTAGGGATTTATTTACCGCTACAGGTCGTTGAGAAAGATGCGTACATCGTCACGCGAATGCTTGGCCAAGAAACTTCAACTAGAGCAGTGAGATTGATTCCAGCAAGCAAGACCTACAGAACTAGTGATCTTTGTGATCTGTTCGCTATTAAGAAATGCTATTCTCACTCACATGAATGGGACAATATACCTTTAGAAGACTTTCATGCTTGAAAAAACTCTTCATTGAAAGAGACTCGGTGATTTCAAAATATTCGAATATCCTAGTAAACGTAATCTTGATAGATCTAAATAGAAGCTTCGACAAAGTCTTTTACCCGGGCCTCGGATTAAAATTGGAATGCTATCGAATCAGTTAAGTAGTTGGCGGCTGAACATTTGACTTTCTCAGTTATAGGGTACAGAAAGTGATAGAACAGTGCCTTGTCAACACGAAAATATGGGGAAATGAACTTATTGATAAAAAAATCATAGAAATCTACCCATTTTATTTTACATAAATGAAATATCAAGTGTTTCACAGTCATGTGTCCTACTGCTTCCCCGTGAAGATATCAAAATATTGAGAAACGTACAATACGTGTCTAATAAGATAGCATAAGACTAGATTTGAGTTAACTGGCGGGGCAGACGGGGTGTTGGTCATTCGGCATAAATTCTATCAACAGTGCAGTAGTTATAATAGCTGATTGCTACGATTTACGGAGCAATGCGACAGATGCAATCGCATTACTCAAAATAATTATTCACACATTCTTTTTAATTACAATTATTAATGACTTTGGAACTACAGGTAAGTGTAAGAAGATCACTGACCAAAACTTGTGAACTGTATTTGCTATCTGTTACTCATTCAAGACTATAGATTGCAGATCACGAGTGTTAACAATTTATGTGGATGGATATACTTTAATGAAGTTGGACGAGAATCGTGTGATCTTTCTTATGTCGAGGTCAAACCTCACAGTTATGACTTAACGTGGACTACCCTTTCGTGGTATTCAGGTCACCTCTATAACCGTATAGAACGGAGATGATGTTGTTGAAGAAATGCATTAGTATTGATAGTTTCGCTCACCTAAATGGGATCAATGAAAATTTCCACCAGAAAACCTATGTACAACACCTTTTTAAGCCCCAACAGCGAGACTAGATCATAAAGTATTGTAAACGGCAACGTCGTTATGAGAGTGTTTTTCATTTCATGGTAAAATAGTAATAATAGATCTCATCTTTGCAGTAGTTCTATCTGCAGTGATTTGAAAACTTCTTCCCTCACCTCAGCTCTTGCTCTTCGGAAACCATAATTAATGTGTTGTATAGGTGAAATAATTTAGATAAAAATTCACGTAGGAGGGTAATAAATGTCCAGAAATTCCATTGTCAAAGTACTTGAAAGTTTGCTGAAGTGACAGTGATATACAAGATACTTGATATACGTGTTGTCCTTGTACCTCACAAAAACCTGTTGATTCTAGAACTTATGGTCCACCTGACCCAATAAAAATGCTTTCATAAGCGTCAAACCACATCAGATATAAGATATATATTTCCAGTGGCAATATATAATCATTGCGCAGTATCGTGAACCAAATGAAGCTAGGACATTTAATGCTTTCTACGGCGTCTGAAAGTTCTATGATAAACTAGTCTTGAACCCGGATAGAACTTTTAGAAGGTTTTAGGATATAGTGAAATCCCTGACCAATTTGTCTTGGATGTCAGTAGTAGCCTTACTAAAATCAGGTTATGTAAACTACAAAAGTCGATTGAGATTGAATGATAAGTCAATCAACCTAGAAGCAAATTACATAAAAAAATTAAAACAACAATTTATAACCGATGGCATTTGCATCGGTATTTACCCCTTATTTAGAAACGACACGCAAACCTAGAATTTTCAAAGAGCCACTTCAGCCCTCCATTCCATTTTCATCGTATTAAATCCGAATGTTATACTAATAAACTCTATAAAGCTCAAACTGATTACCAGTGAACTTATTTGGAGATATAGATCTTTCAAGGTAGTGGTAACATATTATAGTTTATTAAGTCGAGAATTCCGTTGAGACTAGTTGAATTCAAAGATTTTTCTTCATATATTTGCAGTAAAAGCACTAAAAAACAGTGCGCTTCAGATTGATGTTCAGTCGTTTTCTGATCTCTTTAAAAGTGTCCACCAATTAACTAGGTAATTTGTATCAGTAGTCATTGCACTGGCGCTTTGTCAAACAAAACGTTTATCCTACAGGTGATGTGGCCGCTAGAAACCAGAAGTACCACCAGCATTAATTCTTATCTCTCAACAATAACAATTCGTTACTGAAAAAATGGATACAGTACAAATCATCCGCAATTTTTCAAATAAAAATTCTGTATATGAAACTAAGTACTATTTTAAAATGCCATTATGTGCATCAAAATACGAAAGTATGAAATATCATTGAACTACGGAGTATAAAAAATTAAAGCCAATGTTCACTAAAGGGTGAAATCAACTGGAAAATTGTTGAAAAGCTGAAACAGTATTTAAAATATTTTCATTTTAATTCGACAACTATCTGCAATGAGTATGAACGTCATATGAGACCATGTCTACAACGTTCAAGTTTTGTAGTAAGGATTTTACTAAGCTACTCATTATATATATAGTACCAAATGTATAGCCATCTAATCTGAGTCATACTTAACATACTGATTATTTTTTTGATCAATCCAACCATCGCACCAAACAAAAATGTTTCCTTTAATGCTGGTTTATTTATCAGCCTACATTCCTGGAATATAATGTCCCAACACATTTCGTATTCAATGTAAATATCGTATTGTCAAATGGATCTAAATAATCAGATGTATAAGTATAATAATATATAATAAATCAACCAATCAGATGCCTTTACATTTTAACCTAAACAATAATAAAAATGAGTATAGAATTTTCATAAGAGAATTATGAAAAGATATTCAACATATTGTTCATATTTCAAGGTACTTTTAAATTTGAAACTAAAGTGTTATTATTAAAACTTTTGTTAACAAATAATTAACATGCAAAGGTAATAATTATAAATAAACAATTTATTGTTAGTTACTAAGTAACTGGTTGTTTCAAGATAATATACATTTAACTTTTAAGAATATATGTTACATTTAGTGTCCTTCAGTTGTTTTCCCCTACCTCATGATAAATAGTAGGTTAAGCATTTATAATAATAAAACAACCAAATTAATTTTGGTTGTTTTATGTTATGAATGGAATAACTTATATAACTTGACTTTTGTTAACTGTTAAAACAAAAGACTATACAAATGAACTTGAATAGTTTCTTATAATAATTATTAATGTTATTTAATATTTGTTTGAAATGTACTTTAAGTTAAAACACGCAGAAAAACGTTTAGAAAAACAAAATTAGATTGATGAATTATTAAATTTTGAAAAAAAAGAACTGATACGATTTATAGTGAAAATTTTGTGAATTTTAAAAATTTAACAGCATTTTAACTTCAGAATGAAATTATAATAATGCGTTTCTTGGTCAGAGAGAATATTTAATATTACTGATATGACAAATACCGGTTTGTGCTTTAATGGCTCGGGATCTGACTTCAATTGCATCATGTATAATTATCGACTTAACTTGCGTTAGTGAATATTGGAATTAAGTCGTTGATTGGAACAGACAATCAGAGAATCGCAGTGAATGAAGTGAAGGAGAGAGGGTGAAACGAAACAAAATAACACATAGTGGAGAACGTAGGTGAGCCGACTCAATTTAATTAAGCATGAATCAATACATATATAGTCACACAAAAATAAGTTACAAACATGTGATGAATAGGATAGGAAGTGCACATACATGCGCTCATATAAAAACAGTCTAGGTCGATAAGTGAATAGTTGACAAGGTCAAAACATGACTCAAGAAGAATGGACAGAAGTTATAATAAATTATATGAGCTTAACATAGTAACCGACACTACAGTGCATTGTTCTTTGAGAAAAAATTTAGTTATATGAAGGCTATTAATATTACCCAGCCCTCCAAACCCAAATAA